TTTCCTGCCTAGGCAGGGGGTTGGACTCAATGATCTGTTGAGGTCCTTTCCAACCCTAGCATCTGTGAATCTACCTTCCCCTTGCTTTTGAAGAAACCAGCCCGGCCACTCTCCATCCTAGGGAATGAGATCAGGCGGGATGCACACAGGGGAGAAGACGCACCTTTTCTAGGGGGGAGAGGGCTCAGAAGAGTCACCACGTGGTGGAAGGACAGGAGGCTGCTGGCTCTGTGTGGGGGAGGCAGAGCCCTCTCACACATACTGACCGTTCAAGACATCATACATTTTTTTTTCTTTTCTTTTTTTTTTTAAAGAGACTAAAACAAGAGTCAACGGCTACGAACTGTGAACACAAAAAGTTTAGGATGGCAACGACAGCAGAAGGCATGAGTCCGTGTTCTGTGGCCAGGAGGCCCCACCACGGCAGGTGGGGCACAGAGGGGAGGGGAGTGTGCCAGATGGCTGAGGGTGGCGGCTCAGAGTCCCACCAAAAATTCACAAAAATAAAAACATTACAAAAATTAAAATAATAATAATAATAAGTAAGTCGGGTTTGTCAGCTTCCTCCCTGCACGGTCTCTGCATCCTCGCTGTGCCTCGGCAAAGGCTGCCTCCCCAAGCTGCTCCTTTCCACACCGAGTAGGAGGCTCTTTTCTGTGGCCCCCAAGTTCATCCGACTTCCCAGGACCATTCTGGACCTAAGCCACCCAGGGCACAGCCCCCAAACACAAGAATATTCAATGTAATAAAATATAGATGAGGAAGCTGAAAGGGAAAATCCCAAAAAACAAAGCAGGAGTGGAGTCTTCTGGTGTCACCAGTGGTGTCCGAGAGTGAGGAAAGGCACGAAGCCCACGCACGCTGGGTGCTGCACGCGCTAGGGCCGCATCACGGCCGGATGGATAACAGAGCCAGGATGCAGTCTGAAGCAGCAGAGGAGGATGCTAAAGGCTCACCCTCAAGTCTTGGGATTACAAAAGCTGAGAACTACAAAACTAAATACAAAGGGAGAACAGAGAGAGCGTGCGAGTGAGTGATCCACTATCTGGTGTGAGACCCTTGCGCTCCCCTTGTCTTGCCATGGGATTTGATTCACTTCTTCCCTCATGGAGCGAGCACACTGGTGGGGAGCGCCAGCAGCTGCCCCCAGGGCCCTCAGCTCTCTAGTGCTCTTGCATTGGTGGGTAGCTGAGGCTGCTCCTCAGACCTTGTAGTAGATGTTGGCTGGGCTCTGGGGGGGCATCTCCTGGACGATGTAGACGGGGTGCCCATAGTCCCCGCTCACCTTCTCGTAGTGAGGGCAGTAGTTGTTTTCTGTAGTCCGTAAGGGGATGATGATATCGCTGGGTTCTGAGCCTGCGTTACCGCTGCACTTTGGGCTGGCCAAGGTACTGAGTGACAAAGCCGCTGCCCGCTGCTGGGTGTGCTTCCGGTGCCGCTTGCGAATCTTGATCAGGAGGACAACGAGGAAGATGATGATGAGGATGAAGATAACACAGCCAGCACCGATGGCAGCAAATACTGCTACCTTGGAGCTGAAGAATCCATCACTGGGACCTTGAGTTTCCTTGCCATCCTGGTTAACAGAACCTGGGATGAGGGAAGGGGGAAAGAAAAATAGTTGTTAAATTAATTTTGTGGAGCTCAAATCCCATCATCCCATGGGCTCAGGGGACTGACAGGTCTCCCTTCAAAGTGCATGTTCCCCCATTGAAGAAGGAAAACCAGCATGCAGAGGGCAAGGGGTTCTCCAGCTCCTCTGGCAGCATTGGGGAAAGGAGGTTCTGTCCTAGGGATTATGGCTCGAGGATCAATGTAGGGGCCTGGTATCCATACCACTCCCAAGTTCTGACACACCAAGCAGCTGGCAACCCCTGCAAGGGTCCCCTTCTGCAGCATCTGCATCCTCACTGCCTCAAGCTGGTTGTCAGCTTGCTTTGGATGGGCTGGGCTGCTAAAATGGTATGGGCAGCAATCTGATTAGTGGGAGCATCTGAGCCACCAACTCCAGATAGTAGACAAACAGATACTCTGCCGGTATACCTACATACTCTTGCTGAGGTGTCTACACTGTCCCACCCACCCCTTTGCATATGCTGGACTCCCCACACCAATGATCCCATACCCCTTTGGCCCCTTTCAGTATGGCAACATCTGGGAGGAATCCTGGACACTCACAAACAAGATCCCACAGCTCATCCTCTCCTCACCCCAATTTTGTGCTTTATCCTCTCACAGCCCCTGATTGGACTGGAGACAGAAAACTGTTCCTATCCAGTCTATAATCAGAACAAACCCCAGGGGTCCCTGCTCCCCCTCTGCATATTCGAGTGCTCTAATGGAAGTGGGTTGTGAAGCCTGTGCAGACCTGCTATATCCTGTTACTGACCCCCCACCTCTCTCTGACCCCAGGCCAAGGCTGCCCCAGGCCCCTGAAGGGAGACTGTTTGGCCTGTCTGTATCAGAGGTGGAGAAATGGAGCAGCTTTTCCCCACTTCATCTGATTTTGCTTCTCCCTCTCAGCAGGGTCAGGAACTCAGGAAACCACTTTCAAAGAGCTCTCACATAGGTTCAGCTTAAACATCCCAGCAATCTCCATCTCCCAAGCCCTCTATTCTGCTTCAGTAAACAGAAGAAAAACAAAGAGGGCAGAAAAGCCACACTCCTCCTCCTAGGATACTGCCAAAGGCACTGAGGAACTGAACAGGGCTCTGGGAGCTTCTGTCCACAGTCCAGTTCCAGAAGTTGAGCAGTGACTTCAGGAAATGGAGGGTGAGTGATCCCTGGCTGGTGAAGTTTGCAGGAGGCTCTTACAGAGACCCAACAAATACTGGATCCAAGTCCCTGACTTTAAAGCAGGGTCCCTTGAAAGCTTTGCCAAAAGAGTGAGACTCCCTTCTGTTCTATCCATAGCAGATCTAATACAACACCCCTCTGGCTCCGTGAACATAGTTATTCTAGAGTTAGTCCCCCACTTCCCTAGCTTGCTCTGAACAATTACCTGGCTTCCCAGGTTCTTCTATCACAGGGACCTTGTTGCGTGGACTCTGTGTGACAACTTTCATCGTGTTGTCCGATTCCTTGCTGGGCCGACTGGTTGTCAGCTGCTCTGGGATCACAGCATTCGGATCTGTGAAAGGGAAGGAGAAGCTGGATGAGAAATCTAAGTCTGGACCCTGAATTAAAACGTTGAGGGCAGCCACTCTTTTCCCAGCACTTACTGCTCTGAACTGCACCTTCCCCCTGGCACTGAGGACCCTTGCCCAACACTGTTTGCAAAAGTGCTGCAGCACTATGTGCTCCCCACAGCTGTGGGGCAGCACCCAGCATTTGCACAAGTGTGCTGGAGTTGTGATCAGCACTGCACCTGCATTGGCAGGGAGAGGGACAGGCGGCAGATGGGTGCTGTGACACTGGCCCATCTCCCTACCCCATCAGGGCACCTTTTTAATATGCTCCCTGATTATCATGCTCCCCAGCTCCAGAGTGCCATGCGTAAGGCTGCCCAGCCAGAGAAAGACAGGGAGAACCCAAATGACACAAGGCCTCTCTCTCCTTCCAATGAGCAGGGGCTGAGAGCCTGACCCAGAACCTTGCCTTTTCTCCTCTCCTACCAACAAGCTAGGAGCCAGGTACAGGTCCCAATTTCAATATGTATTCACAACAATTCCCTCTAATTAGAGGATGTGTGATGGTTATGAGGTTAAGCCCTATATTTGACATAGTCATTCGGAGTCCCTGTGGTTTCCTCCACATAACCCCGCATGCAGGGAATGCTTCCCTGAATTAATCAGTAAGGCCACTACCGTTTCCTCCACAAGCCTCGCCTCTAATGCAACACCTGCTGACAACTGCTGAACTGCACATTGAGGAAAGAGATCTGATTTAAAACTACGATAATTCAGAGCCCCATCAGGACCACGGCCTACATGTCACTAACCCGTGTGACCACATGATCCTATCTCTTCCCTCCTCACTTGTTATTCAAGAGTTGATCTTCTCTTAAATTACTGGGCAAGCTCAGAGACAACAACTCTGTCTTCTGTTGTGTGTAGTACAATGGGGCTCCGATCCTGACTGGGGTTATTTAGTACTACTGCAATATGGATTAGAAAATGGTGCCCTGTGAACAGGCAGGAGGGAGGCTTCCCATGCTGCTGCTTCCTCACTACATTACACGCTTGAAGGGAAGACTCCCGGCCCAACTGTGTTTTCTGAGAGCAAGCACTCAGCCTGGTTTGTTTTTAATGGAAGATACTAGCGGTACAGCTGCAAGCATTGCTCCTGAACTCAGCCTGCAAGCCCTCTCCTCCTGGGGTGCAACTGCAAGCCAATAGATGTCCTGCAAATTCCCAGCTTCCAGAAGCTAGCCCAGTTATACAAATTCTGAGGGTCAGCAAATGGATGCTGAGGGAAACAGCACAGAGCTCTTTGGGAAGAGACAGAACATGGGAGGGTGCATAGAGCAGAGAGTGAGATTTTCATGAGCTGCTGCCAGAAATGGAGGCTTTTCATTTGAAGTGCAGCCTGCAGCCAGCTTCATTTCACATATCCTACATTTGAACAGCATGCTGCAAGACATAACAATAGTAGAAAGCACAACCCCTGTCCTGAGGAGCTTAGACTGTGGAGAATGGCAGACAAAGCTAGGGGAATGCCAGGCAATGGGAGGAAGAAGCACAGAGCTGAAATCAGATTGTAGGGCTGCTGTGATGACATGGGGAATGCCAAGGCAGCTCTGGCATTTAATGCCACTGATTTTGAGTAGCATTCACTCTAAAGATTAGCATTTGAGGGACCATGACTAAAAGGCAAGGTTTGATGGAGGACAGGGAGGTTGTGCAGCCTCAGCATAGGAGGCAGAACTGGAGTAGGCACAAAGACACTTCTTTTACAGGGAAATGGGATCAATGGAGTGCAGGTTCTGAACAGAAAGCCAGCAGGAGATGACCAATGACAATCACAGGTGAGAGCTGAGCTGTGCACACAAGAACAAGGCAACTGCACTCAATGGGGAGGCAGTAGTAAAAGCATGAGAACTGTGGATATCACAGGCAACATTTGTGTAATATTCCACCGTAGGTCAAAGGCTCATGTGCTTTTGCACTACATTACTGAATGTCCAGTCTCCGTGAGGAGTGACCCTCATGTCAGTGACAAGGGTTGCATGCTTCAGAGGCAGCCTTCCTGCTTCAAGCTTGTTACCTGAATGGCTCTAGCTAGGAGGAATTTCAACATTGCTCTTGGATTGGTAGATAGGAAATCCTGCTCTGCCTGCAAAAGTCATGGATGTTGGATAAGAAATGTCTCCATTAGCAGTAATGCTTGGATAAATAAATAAAAAGCAAAGCACAAGTAGTTTGAATCCTAAAGGAATAAGAAAGAAAAAGCCAAAATCTTCCTACTGGAAAACGCAACAAATTCAGTGTCAACCAGTGAGGGGAAGCTGCTGGGCCTCAGTGCTCTGGAACTGTACTTTAAGGTCTCAGCACAACTTGGACAGCTCCATCAGACATATAGTCTTATAATGTTTCCACGTGGGCTCTAGGAGCAATTGCTCAAAGCCGGATAGTTTTGGCTGCCATCTTGCAGCCAGGAAAGGAGCTAACATGTGCCCTTCCACCCCCAGCCTAGTCTAGCTGTGAAGTGCAGCACACTTGTGAGTTTCGTGCAAAAAGGAACCAGTTGTGGTTACTACTGGGAGAATACATCAGACCCAACGTCCATTACCCTGAGCACATTTGCTTTTCATTGACCAACAATGCAAGGTGTTCCCTATGGCAGTGTGGAAATGTCACAGAACAGGAAGGCAACTACAAGGGCACAATGAGATGGCTTACTTGGGGCCAGTCCTATTCAGCAAGTGCTTGGTCTGTTAAACGTCAGTGGAGACTGGTGTACAGGCAAGCTGGCTTCACCCCAGCTGCCTGGTGGCAGTTGTACCCCCCCCTCACCCTTCTTTCCTGGCCCTCTATTCTGTTTGCACACTCTAAAGCGACCATCGTAAAGGCAGGGGAAGACACCAACACACTTCCTCTGCTCTTCAGCTGTGACTCTGCAAACAAGCAGACCAAATTCAGGTGTGGGACATGCCCAAATGTTAGAAACCAACAGCAGCCTCAGAGATGAGCACTTTCTGTCACCGTATCCTCAGGTCTGGGAAGTGTGACATGTGCAGAAGGGGAAAGCAGCCACCCCACAAGAGTGACTGAAATGGCAACATCAAAGCCAAGTCCTCTCCTCAAAGGAGCGTTAACATCACAGGCAACAGAACCATAGCAACCAGAAACAGAACAAAACCCATGGACCTAACAAGTCTTCTGCTACCCTTACCAGTCTACTGCTGTTCACCTCCACCTATGTTTCAATTGAGTGTGTGAGCTCTCTGAGACAGAGGATGGTAGCTGTGATCAGGAGCTGACTTTATGAGTGGGATGGGGTGGAAGCGATGAGAAGCCACATGGAAAGAGTATGGCAACACTGCAAGTCTGGAGCATTTCAGTACTGGGAAAAGAAGCATTTTCTCTTTGGTGGTTGTTCAGGAAGTTCCTCCTTTGCTCCAGTACTGGGCCTGAGGAAATTTCTAGCAAGGGCAGCTAAGGGAATGCGAAGGGAATTGCATATTTCAGGGCTGCCCTGCTATTCCTCTAGTTTACTATAAATATTGGCCCCAACAGAGCAAAACAAACTAATAAAAAGCAGCCACCCTGAGCTCGGCAGCTAGGGAGGTGGCTGAAGTCCAGCCTGCAGCAGCCCTGGAGGCCAGAACTCCACAGCCTGGGGACAGGAAACTTTAGGAGAGCTCTGCCCATCAGAAAAAATTACCTGGCAGTGTACAATTAAAAGAGTAAGACAGGTTATGGCTGCACTACAGCTCCAAGCTCTAGGGACATTTCCAAAGGAAGCATCAGATGTCATGAAGAATTCAGCACCTAGGCCTTGTTCCCACAGCTGCCCCCTTCCCGAGCAGGAGCCATGACCGCTCACAGAATCCCAGAGTGCACTGGGAAAGGTCAGGGAAAGTCAAAGGCTGGCACCTCCTGGAATGGGGTTGCAGCTCCAGAAGTGCCATTTGCTCGAAGCAGTAATTACATCATTTCCAGAGTATCACAGCACAGAAGGTGAACTTTGTTTGTACAAATGGAGAAACGACTCCCCCACCCGTCTCACAGGAGGGGTACAGGAGGACCACAAAATGACAGACTGACAGCATCTGCAGAGCAAGAAGGGGGCTGCTCAAAGGAGAGCTAATTGAGAGCAGGGCTCTGAGAGGAACAGCCTATGATGAGGGTCCCCAATACATGCATTTTGTTGTAAAATACAATGTACAGTTCATTTTGTGAATGCTCCAGGATGTGGAATCCCTTGTGTGGACAGGTGCAGTGTTACTATTAACTCAGGGAGGGGTGAAGGTACCTTAAAGTCAGAGGCCTGAACTTCCAAGGTTTGGGCTATATCTGCTGTCTGTAGCACATGGATGCCTGGAGGAGGCCCTGCATAAAACTACAGCTCGAGTGCAGTATTTACCCCAGGCAACCTGGTTTATAGGATCTGTAATCCCCAGTGCCTGCAAGGAGTTCCTTTTATGCAACATGGGAGTGTTTCTTAGACTACTGACAAGCTGCCTACGTCTCTTCCAAGAAGTCTCTGGTTCATGTTATTATGGGGGGGAAGCACCTGATCCTGAGCTCTCCCATTGTACTTGGCCTTGGTGAGGCCGCAGCTGGAGTACTGCGTCCAGTTTTGGGCTCCACAATTCAAAAAGGATGCGGAGAAGTTTGAAAGAGTCCAGAGAAGAGCTATGTGCATGATCAGAGGTCAGGATAACAGATCTTATGATGAGAGGCTGAGAGCCATGGGACTCTTCAGCCTGGAAAAGCACAGGCTCAGGGGTGATCTGGTGGCCACCTATAAGTTTATTAGGGGTGGTCACCAGGATCTAGGGGAATGTCTGTTCACCAGAGCGCCCCAAGGGATGACAAGATCAAATGGTCACAAGCTCCTCTGCAACCATTTCAGGCTGGACATAAGGAAGAACTTCTTTACTGTCCAAGCCCCCAAGGTTTGGAATAGATTGCTGCCAGAAGTGGTTCAAGCACCTACTTTGAATGCCTTCAAGACACTTTTGGATGTTTATCTTATTGGGATTCTATGATCCCTGCTGACTTCCCGCCCCTGGACAGGGGGCTGGACTTGATGATCCTCCGGGATCCCTTCCAGCCTGAATGTCTATGAAATTTAAATCTATGAAATTTATAAGCAGGAGGGTAAAGAGAAGGAGGAAGTCTTTTGGATTTTCTCGTAGAAAGTTCTGCACCTATTTCAAATTGGAAGTATTCAGACTTGAGTATAGTGTCTGCTTCACAGACTGGACATTTTGCCAAGAATAGTTCAGATCAGCACTGGTCACAGATCTGCAGCTATTCCTAGGGTGACTGGCAGTACAAATCCAGGCTTGTTCAACAAGCAGTGGGCAAGAGGGCATCCTCTGATGTACTGCATGGAGGAGGGCCGAGGACTCAGCTGGGCCCAACTGCAGACCATGGAAGCTTCAATCATCTCCACAGTCCACTGATCTCATAGGCACAGCTAGTTTCTGGCCCAGTCCTCAAACCAAGTTGGGGATAAATAGATGCATTCAGCATTATGAGAACAAGGTGCAATGAGAACAGGGGCTCTGGAAAGGCCCCTGCCACGGGATCCATGTAGCCTAGCTATTAGGCATTAGTCCCCCCTTCCTCTCCCCTTCCCTTCTTCCTCACTCCTTTCTCTGTCTCTCCCTCCCCCCTGCCACCTTCTGGTTTTTGCTGGGGCATGGCAGGGCTTCCCTGCCGGACTCCACCCGATGCCAAACGGTAACTGGTAAGCTATAACCGGTCATCATTGAGCTGATCAGTTAAGCCAGGGGTTTTCAAACTTTTTGGATCAGTGTACCCCCCACAGCTGGATGCAGAGTGGGTGGGGAGGGAAGGGAGGATGCAGCCGAATGCAGTGGCAGCAGACACCATATATGAGCTTCCCCCACCCCCTGCGCCCACCCAAGCACGCACCACCTGTGCAGCAGCATGGGATGGTGCGTGGCAGTGCTCTGTCTCCACCCACCCATGCATACCCCCTAGGGCCTTCTCAAGTACCCCTGGGGGTACTCATGTCCCCAGTTGACAACCCCTGAGTTAAACAATTAATCATTTAATCATTCATATTCCTACTGGAGCCTGCAGTGGGAAGAAGGGGCTTTTATACAAAATTGTTCAGACACCAACAGAGCATCAGCACCAAAGTTAATACTGAGGCAGTTTGACGATAAGTTCAAACTCAGTGTAACTTTGTTTGTCAAGATGGTCCCATTGTGGGAAAGCTTAAAATGGATGCTTAATAATTTGGTGGGGGCGGGGGGGGAGAAGAGGAAATCACTCCTCCTTGGGGGCCTGACTGGCCAATCCCATGAATGCTTCAGAATCCTAAACTATGACTGGGTGTTAATCTCACATGGTTTAAGCCTCTTCCAGATCCAAATGGCATTTAAATCATTTGAGGAAGAAGCATGATCACAGCTGGAAGAAAGGGGACTTCATAGAACTGCCCTCTTTGAGCATATCTGAAGCAAAGCTTGGGGCACCCAGCAGCTACACCACCACAGATTGTGTTTTACAGCACCTTATGAGCTATGTGTGTGCAAGGACCTCAGTATTTATTATAAAAATCAATCAAGTTAATGACCTTGAACGAAGACAGCAAATTAGCACCTCCCCCCCAAAGCATCACAACTGAGACAGAACTCAGCGGAAAGACAAAGCCTTCCTTCCTGCCAGCTCAGTTCCTAAACGAGACTCCTTTGTGAGCTTTGGCCCTGCTCTCACAATAGCACTCTGTCAAGCTCCCATAGAGGACTGAACAGTGCACTTCAGCAGAGTTGGATTTTAAAGAGGCTGTGTAACCATAGCACATTTGGATGCTGATTTGATAGCCGATGGGGGAACTCCGCTAAGCATTGAGTGACTCACCCTGCCCTACTTTCATGACAATCTTCATGGACCGTGTCTGGCAGACCCCGCCTTCTCTGTTCTCCAGGCCATCCAGAGTCCCATTGGAAGTGGCTGCAGGAAAAAAGAAATGACTGTTAACAAGCAGTTGTGAAACATGGAAGGGTCTTCAAGAAGGCAAAAGGGGGTCCCCCTAGAAAAGCCTTGGGAGGTAGCCCAAGCTTCCCTTTAAGAGTGGTTTAGTTACTGGGATCTGTTTGGTATTGAGCCAGTCTATAGGAATGGGGAGCAATTTAAAGATGATGTTTTATGTAGCACCAAGTGTGTGGAGGCCTATGTGGTGGTTTCTTTGTATGTCTTCAGGGGAGGGATGCAGTGCTGCGGACCTCCATTCTGTGGTTCCTCACTTCTGAATACCTATTTAGGAGCATCTCAAGGAAAACCAGAAGGCTTCTAATATTCCTATCACAGAATCTTGCTTAGAAGCATTGTTGAGTAACAGAAGGACTTTTAACAGAAAAGAACTTCATAAATTATCAGGTAAACCTCCTCCAGGACCCAGTTAGGTTATGGGATAGTATTATGTGGGCCCCACAAAGAGTGCTTCCATTTCTTCCCTGGGGTGCATGTTTTTCCCCATGTTCTCACACCCCTGCCCACTCATAGTCTGAGGTCAGGATATCAGTGGCCTTCCCCATTCTGCAGCCCTGAGCACATGGTAAATGTTGTTCAATACACTGCACTCTGGTCTTCTCCAGTCTTCCCCAAATCCTGACTGCTCCACCCCCCCCAATTCTATTCACTTATAAACCTCCAGCCCATTAAAATGGTTACCCTGATGCTTGAACTGGTTGCTGAGCTGCTAATTAGATTGTACTCCAAAGGAAAGAGAGAGGCAGAGCCTGACAAAGGCCAAAGCTCCCACTCCACAGCCATGGCACAATGGGGATAAAAGCTGTAGAGAGGCAGCCGGGGCACCGGAGGAGAGGAATGCTCTGGAGGCTGAACTTTCCAAGCCATAAAACTGAGAGATTCTCTCCACCCTTTTGTCTCCCCTTAATAGGGAGCTTGTTAACCTCATGAGGACAAAACATGAAATGTTCTTTTCACCAACCTGTCGCCCTCCCCCTCTTTGGACTGGTTAATGACTTTCTGAGCAGCCTAGGGCACTAGCCTAGTACTTAAGGGACTGCTTCTACTCAGAAAAGCCATGGCAGTTGATGGATGGACCACAGCCTTCTCACAGATGGGAGGGAGGCCTGTGGACTTCTTGCCACATTACTCCAATTCCTCCAAAGAGATGCAGCTGAAACAGTAACTGAGTTCAGATGTTGAAATGTGTGTTGCTTTGTCCAGAAGCTGACTGACTCGCTCTGCTCCTTCTAGTACGGCTGAAGGAGACCACTGTACCATCTCTGCAGCATTATTCCAAGCACATGCAGCAGACAAAGGGCACAGCAGGGGGTGTATGCACACCCTTATAATGCACCATGGCGTGCAGTACTGTACTGGCCTCAGCTTTGCATTCCAAAGACCAAAGCCTGACAGCCCTAGGAATGCTTATCTGAGGGTCACAGGTTGTGCCACTAAGCTGCTAGGCCGTCCTGTTTAGGGAAGGGGGTGGGGGACAAGCTACTGTGGAAAAATGCTCACATGTGTATGGCACTGCACTTTGATGCAGGAGAACCAGCTTCAGTCCCTGACTCCAACACAGCTTTCCTGTGTGACCTTGGGCAAATCATTTAAACCTTTTGTAAAACGGGGACAGAAACTTCCCAAAGCATTTGTATATTGTATAGTGCGAGGAGGCCACAATTGCAGTTCGTCCCTCCAGGAACTGCCATAGCACAAAATAAGGAAAGCATCAGGAGCTGTATTTATGAGCAAGAACAAAATGATGCTGGTTATGTTTTGCTCTGCATTGCATGCAAGATGTAAGTCATAGTGCAGGAAGGAATTACTTCCTGCAATACAACACTGTTGCCAAGGAAAGTCACAGGGAGAGTGGATGCTTCCCAGCACACAGCAATGCAGAAGCCACTGTAAAAAGACCATATTTGGGAAGGTAAAAATGCATCCCCCACTCCCAAATGCTTCATCTCCAAGTCAACGGAAGCAAGAAATTCTAATCCCCCCGCTCCTTGGAGCATACGATAGGAACACTTATGCATGTGCAGCACATTATACATATATAATTACACAGTGTGCCTCAGTAAAGAATGTAAACTCAGAGCCCCAGTGGGTTTGAATGGCTGTAATTGCAGGGCAGAAGTCAGTTAAACTCACTTTGGGGGCGAGGGAGGGGAGAAAGGGGGTGAGGGGAGTGCTCAGTTTTTAGTCCTGGTCCTGTGGGAGCGTTGCAAGCCATGCATCTCCTGCTGTTACTGAGCAGAAAACAACACAGCAACATGTCTGTGAGCCCTCTCCCATGACTGGGGATAGCTCTGACGAACCCGCCTGCTCCGTAGCCAGGACTGGGGGGTCGTATGCGGTTAGGAGATTGGTTAGACTGTATACATGCCTAACAAGCACCACGTAATTACGGAGGGAGACAAACAGCTATGTCTTTCTGAATTTAATGTGATGCCCCAGGATAATCTTGACCTCCCAGGAGTGGTGTGCCGTGGGTGGGACGTACTCTCCTAGACAGAATCCTTTTGACTTGGTTCTTCCCACCTTTGCCTTTCCATCCCTCTGGCAGACAGAGCTGGGGGCACTTTCTGACTAAAACCAGTGAGATTACCACTAGTTACAACTATGGTTATGGGACCAAACAGGCAGTCAAAAGCCAGACTAATCTAATTGTATCTGGAAACTCCACCCTGCTTGAAGGGTCTATCTGTCTCCTCACTTCTGACCTCTCCACTCCACATAGATCCCAGCTCCTGAAGCTATGAAGGGTTAATCCTTCCATGCACAGCACCAACATTGTCTTGGCTACTCTTTGGATACAGTGCCAAATCAGTCACAGAACCCTCTTCTTCTGGGTGCACCTTTTGAAGAGCTTCAGAAGTGCATGAGAACCCCATCAGAAGGGAGAACTGCAGGCAGAGGATCTACTTGCTTTTTGGACTCAACACTTCTTCAAAAACCTAAATATTCCAGCAGAAGATGTCCCATCAGCAAAAGACAAATCGCTATCCACCCAGCCCCAGAGCAGTTAATTTAAGTTCTGCACAAAACATCAGTCAGAGGTGAATTTGCAACCTACATTTCAGGGCTCTATTCTTGGTTCAGACAGTCAGCAGTACTGCAATGAAAGCTTCACCATGTACTTTTTTTGGTGGGGCGGGGGGGAAGTGGAAGGAACAGTGGAGTAGGTAAGAGAAGGCAGCCCAAACCCCTCGCTCACAGAGCAGGAGCTTACCTTATTTGGTTAGCTATAGAGCACTACTACAGTAAAAAGCAAAACTGCTTTCAGAAGTACGAATGCTCAGGAGAACCTGCTCACGTGGGGAGAGACCCAGCAATGTAGGACAGGGTTTGCAGTAAGGAATGCTGAAGCCTCGTGAATAACCTTCTGGAGACAATGATGTGTAAAATGGAATTTGGCCAGGGCAGCAGAGCTAACTTCTATCCCCTACTCACCAAAGAGGAGTTTCATGTTACCTGCAAAGCCCCATCCCTTCCATTACTCTGTAGCACAACCAGTCAAGTCTTATATTAAGGGGAAGAGACAAGAAGTGACAGATGGCTGACTGGAACAAAGCCATCACACAACAAGAGAATCTTTACTGTTATGAACCTAATTTGTTTCTGTTAGATAGGTATGGGGAGGGGCAGTGTTTCTTTCCTAATAATGATCTTATACAAATGGACAGGGTTGTTTAACTGTGGTGCCTTGAGGAAGGGACTGGCTCCTAAACCTACTGAAATTTGCTGATGCTCTGAAGTTGGCAATCTATTACCCTATGGCTGGCCTACGCAGACAAGTTAACTGGGATTAAAGTAGGGTGTGAATTCAAAGTGCAAGAGCTCTATTGCTGGAAACCTTCACATGTATACAAGCCCTTTGTATGAAATGACTACAAATGGTTGTAGTGATCAAAGTTAGCCAGCCACAGGATGACTTCATGGCCCTCCCATGGCAGCAGTTTCACAGGCCAGTTTTTACAGACTTCACTGAGTGAAGTCGTATTTCCTTACATGTCTACAGTTCGCAGACCATTAGTTTTAAAAGCACTGTCAACAACTGGATGGGAAGAGAGCAGGGGAAATTTCCCCTTTGAGAACCGTGTCAATCATTCCCAGCTCTCAGTCTGGCCATGAACCCATTCCCTTCACAGATGTGTCTTCAAGAGACAATTCCACTCAGAACAAGCAGCAGCTCTGGAGTGAGAAGAGAAATGGGGTCCTGTTCATCCTCCTATCCACCTTCATGTAAATTCAAACCAAGTCCTTGATCTTCAAATTTTCTAAAGTATCACTATTGCCATTTTAGCCCCAGCTGCACATTTACTCTTATTCTCATGCTGAATTATTGTCTTGTCTCACTGACTATGCTGCCATTTGGGTTATGGCTATTAGAAGATATAACCCACAGGCAGTAGCATGCTCTATTCCACTCAGGTGCAACACAAGCTCCAATAAGGCACATGGCATCAGGAAGACGAGCAGATCCACAATAAGTCCCCTGTACCACCTTGGTCTCAGTGAGCTGCGGGGAGTCAGTCATTTGTTCTCAGAAACAGAAGTATTTGGTCTCCTTGTAATCATCTGAACCGCAAAGCCCAAGCTGCCCCTCGATTGTGGGAAGACAGGATAATTACTGATGTTTAAAGGACTGGTGGGTATTGGACAAAGCCGGTGGCACCTCCTCCAACTCCACACAACTTAAGGATTGAAAGGTGCACCCCCCAGGGCCCCAATCTGTTTCCTGCCTGGAGGCACCTGCTCCAGAAGGAAAAAGAAGATGGCAATGCCAGAGAGCACAGTTCTAAAGCAGTTTCATGTACAAAGACCACCACGCACATCCCTGACATTACAAGAATCCCATGCAAGGAGATCAAGCACGGACTACAGGCTATCTGGATATGGCAGCTGGTCCTACTTTGATGGACATATTACAAGATATTAATCTTGTAAATCAAAAATCAAAAAAAACATTCTTCCTT